ATCTATTTGTTTATTTCTTGTTTTCTTATTTCTTTGCTCTGATGTTTGGCTGTTTTGTATACATTTTGTCCATTTTATAGATTTTTTTATGACTCGTATACTCACACACATATAGATCTCGTAGGAGTTTTCTTATTCTTGTTCTTGAAAATTTACAATTACAAATTTGTATGGAGATTTGAAGAGATGACAAGCATTTTGTAATAAATTGGTGATCAATAAAATATTTTGTAGCAACAATCCGGTTATTCAATTGATACACCCAGTAACACAACTAGCTAACCTCCTTACTCAGAGAGAGTGATAATGGTCCAGTTGAAGACAAACATACAAGTTAACTTATTTAAGTATGCGCACCAACAGCGGATAAGGATGAAGAGGAGATAGAACATTTTTACATGGAGTTAGACACAATTTTAAGATCCATTGAAAAATAATAAGACATTACAATAGTAATGGGGGACTTTAATGCTAAAGTCAGGAGAGGAAAAGTTAACGAATGTGTTGGTGAACGACCGCAAAATCAGTAGACCCAAATCAGATACCCACTGAGCTAATTAAATGCATTGACGAAGAAACACTGCATTAACTTTTAGATCTGTTTAATAAAGTAACAGGAGTAATACCCGAAGATTGGTTGCTGTCCACGTTTGTAACACTACCAAAGTCAGTACATGCGACAGAATGCTCCCAATTTCCTTAATAAGCTACACATTTAAGATATTTCTCAAAATGATACAAGGAAGACTATATAAAAAATAGAAGAAGAAGGTATAGATGACACCCAGTTTGAATTAAGAGGAGGACTAGGAACGAGAGAGGCTCTGTTCACTTTTAAAGTTCTCGCGCAAAGACGACTAGATTGAACCAGGATGTCTGCTTTATAGATTATCAAAAGTCTTTTGATAGAGTACGACATCAGAAACTCATAAAATTGTTAAAAAAAAAAGAATGTGGAAAGTCGAGATATACTGGTTATTGCCAATATGGCGCTGCTTCTACCAGCTTTTTAGCAACGTGATGTGTGCAAGAAGTAGCTCACATTTACTCTGAAAAATTTCCTGATATTTCGTCTTTTTCGTCGCGATTTTTACGTGGACGATCTCCATACCGGTGCTTCCACCTTCGACGAACTTAAAAGTATTCAATCTTTAATCACTGAATTACTTTCAAAACATGGCTTTCATTTAAGTAAGTGGAAATCAAACTCAACCGAATTAAAAATCGATGATATAGACAACACTCCTTTGGACATAGGTTCCAATGAAACTGTCAAAACATTAGGTCTGCTTTGGAATCCTAAATTAGATGTTTTCTTCTTTAATGTTCGACCTACTACAAACAATTCTAAGATTACTAAGAGACACATTCTTTCAGCAATTTTAAAGATATTTGATCCTCTTAGTCTCTTAGCAGCAGTTACAATAACCGCTAGGATCATTCTACAAGACTTATGGCGTCTAAAAATTTCCTGGGATGAAGTTGTACCCATGGATATTCATACAAAATGGTCAAATTATCGATCCCAATTAGTCAACCTTAATAAATTACAATTCCCTCGATATTATTCCGTTTCCAGTCATCGATGTAACAACATGTAGTATTAATTTATATTTGTAATATTTTTAGTTGTTCTGGAGCTGAGGATAAGAGCCTTAAGATGCTACGTGTTCTCGACTTTGCTGTATGGAATGGAAAGTTTTTCACTAAAAGTGGATAATATAAAAAAGTTGGAATCATTTGAGATGTGGTGCTATAGAAGAACTTTGAAAATACCATGGACTCAACGAGTTACAAACATTAAGAAGGCTACAAAAGGATTGCGAGGTAATGAAGCACATCAAAACAAAAAAGCTGGAATATTTATAGACGAGTCAAGTTAGTAGAAAATAAGCGTTTTTTCGTCACAACTGTATAGACGGGTTTGACAGTTGAAATAGATAGTATGAGATATTACAAAAAAACTCTCATCTAGGGATTCATGAATTTTTTAGTGGAACTATTTTTAAATAAACAATTAATACGTCAATATCATTATTTTGCTCATAACTTATAAACTTGTCTATTTAGAGATTTGACGTCCACAGACGAGTTGTTGAGAAAGAAAAAATACACAAAATGAGATATACTAAATTAAAATCGGTTAATAAACAAAAAAGTTATTGCAAAATAACCAAGTAAAACGGCTGTTTTTGATTATTGTTAATAACTCTTTTAGTAATCAATAAAATTTATTTAAATGTATCTAAACTTAAAAATCTCATCGTGTTCGAAGTGTGTGCGAAAGATAGGCTAGATCCGTCAAATAGTTTTTGCACAATTTAATTTGTTTATAAGATTTTTTGAAAAATGCACAAATTTCTAAGGCCGGTCCAGATAATTTGACTGAATGGATCTTAATAATCGGGGCTTATTTTCTTCGATGAGACATATATTATTATCCTGTGGAAAAAAAAATTAAAAAAAAAATACGTTTATGTACACAAAATGATTTATTAATAAATAGTACATTTTTAGTTTATAAACATTTACAATAACTCCGTACTATTTAGTTTAAATTAAATGGCAATAAAATATTCGGAAGGCGGGTTTAAAAAACAACAACTTTAAAAAAAAAAGGTCCTGCGACCATTAGGAGCCGAGTTAGTCCTTTTTTTTTTAAATCACTGTTACGTCAATTAACAACATTAAGGGCTGAAATTAACCAATCTTTTAGAAGAAAAGTCAAAGTTATTCTCAAAATGTTTAGCAAAAAAAATAATTGAAAATTGTTTAAACAGGAGTGTTGTAAACGAAGAGTACTTTGCGTTCCGACTAGAATGGAAGGAGTGGGGATTGCCGATTGCACACAAGCCGCGCTCTCCAAAAAAGTCGAGCGCACGGTTTCAAAATAGATTGCTTGGAAAAAAATGACATATCTCGGGTTCTAGTGGACCAAATTTGTTCTTTTTTTTTTAACTGGGGTACAACGTTAAAATAATAACATTTAACGTACTTTCATTGCAAAATTATTCAAAACAAAGCAGCTAATGACTACAGAATGTACAAACTTTTTGAGTCGTCTTTTTATTGTTATTTTTCTATTTATTTATTTCAAATATGATTATATTAAATAACTGTTATAAGTAAATGAACATTTTGAATAATGTTTACTAAAAATTTATTAATGAAATAATAAATTAATTTTATGTTATTACAGAAGTTGAAATTTTGTGTAGTGATTTTTTAAAATAATTTAATTTACTGTAATTTTCTACGCTTAATTTCTATATCGACACTGCTACTACTATGTAAACATTCTTCTTCACTTTCATCTTCAATTTCACTTGTATTATAACTTTCATAAATCATTTCATTTTCATTGTCGCTATTCTCATCAAACCCAGTTAAATACATTTCATCAATTATTTCCTGTTCATCTGTTGTATCGTTTTCTTCTTCATTAATAATTTCATAAATATTAGTACATTATAATAGTAAAATAATATTATATTCAAAGTTAACCGTATATTATTCAGACAACGTGGTACAACCATGTGTTTATATTAATATATATCAGAACACGTAGTTTTTTTTAATATTCAGATGATATTTACGTACCATTAATTATTTGTAACAATTATTAAATAAAACAAAACACTAAATATTTCAATACAACAAACCGGTTGTATAGTCGCAGGAAAATGAGTTTTACCGCTTTCGACGTGCGCTCGACGCTCGACTTTTTTTAGAGCGCGGCTTGAGTGCAATCGGCAATCCCCACTGCTTCCATTTGAGTCGGAACGCAAAGTACTCTTGGTTTACAACACTCCTGTTTAATCAATTTTCAATTATTTTGTTTGCTAAATATTTTGTTAAAAACTTTGACTTTTCTTCTAAAAGATTGGTTAATTTCAGCCCTTAATGTTGTTAATTGACGTAACAGTGATTTTTAAAAAATAAAAGGACTAACTCGGCTCCTAATGGTCGCAGGACCTTTTTCTTTTTTTTTTTAAGTTGTGTTTTTTAACCAGCTTTCCGAATATTTTATTGCCATTTAATTTAAACTAAATAGTACGGAGTTATTGTAAATGTTTATAAGCTTAAAAAGTGCTATTTATTCTTAAATCATTTTGTGTACATAAACGTAATTTTTTTAACTTTTTTTTCCATAGGATATTAATATATGTCTCAACAAAGAAAATAAGCCCCGGATTATTAAGATCCATTCAGTCAAATTATCTGGACCGGCCTTAGAAATTTGTGCATTTTTCAAAAAATCTTATAAACAAATTAAATTGTGCAAAAACTGTTTGACGCATCTAGCCTATTTTTCGCACACACTTCGAACACGATGAGATCTTTAAGTTCAGATACATTTAAATAAATTTTATTGATTAATAAAAGAGTAATTAACAATAATCAAAAACAGTGGTTTTGCTTGGTTATTATGCAATAACTTTTTTGTTTATTAACCGATTTTAATTTAGTATATCTCATTTTGTGTATTTTTTTTTCTCAACAACTTGTCTGTAGACGTCAAATCTCTAAATAGACAAGTTTATAAGTTATGAGCAAAATAATGATATTGACGTTTTAATTGTTTATTTAAAAATATTTCCGCTAAAAAATTCATGAATCCCTAGATGAGAGTCTTTTTGTATCTCATACTACTTATTTCAACTGTCAAACCCGTCTATACACTTGTGATGAGTAAAAACCTAACTTGATTGGCCTATTAGGCCGCATTACCAGAGGTGCGAAACATGCCACATTAAGGCTCATAATGCAAGGTAAAATCAAGGGTAAAAGATCCATAGGAAGACGAAGAATTTCCTGGCTAAGAAACCTAAGAAAGTGGTATGGTTGCAGCTCAGTAAATCTTTTCAGAGCAGCAGCCAATAAGGCACGGATAGCTGTGATGATAGCCAACTCCGATAGGAGAAAGAACTACAAGAAGAGAAGAAGTAACACAACATAAACTATAATCTCAGACATAACATGTAAATAAAAATCAAAGAGTAAGTTACATATTTATTGAAATCTTCCAATGAAAATTAAAAAGTTTTTTATCGTACTCAAACCTACTTTAATTTGCTAAGATGAAATGCAAAATATTTGCTATTTTCTTCAGGTAAACTCTTTGATCTAACATTGTCCTGTGCTGGGGAGACGGGTTGTCTGATTTCGTTAATAAAGCTGTTTCTTCTATTTAGGTATATGGACGAAGGAAAAAAATCATTTCCGCATTCCAACTGTCTCCACCTGGACGGATGATTAGGTGGAAGAGGTGGAGCTTCGTATAAATGACCTTCTGACACGTTGTATACTGCATTAAAAGATCCCTCGTAATCTTTTTCCGAGATGGTACTTAGCTTCCTACTACTCCATCTTCTGGTCAAAATTCTTGGTGAAAGATACCCATCGCTTGCTGAGTACAATGAATTAACCGAAGGAACACCTTGGTTATTATTAAAAATAACGTCTTCTTCTTCACTCAGTTTTTTGTTCGATTTTATAAGTTTTGGGTGTCTTTTAATTATGCAATATACAATTAAAACAGTTATTGTCACGATTATAACAAGAGTTATAACATACATTACTATCAAAAGAACTTTATCTTTGTTAAAAATCCAAGTTTTTTCACTCCATTCGGGCGGTACGACCAGGGAGGTGCAATCAAAGGGTGAAACTGTAGAATCGTTTTTTCCTAGTAAACAAATAATATATTTTTTATTAAAGCTTAGCTTTTGCAAATTAACGACTTCTTTAATATTATATTCACAGCCCCTTTCATCGTGTTGATCCACGTTAAACCAAATCATGTAATCGTCGTCTACTGAGTTGCGTAAAGTTATTTCGTAATTCGGAGTGCCCTCTAGCTCGTAAAAGTCATACGTAATGGATCCGTTTCTTACAGACAGTGTATGGCTGTATATCCTATTAATGTTGGAGCTTTTATACATTTTTTTGGTGCAGTCATCACAAGTTATGCTAATATATTCTGTAGGTTTAGTCGTTTGTGCTTCTGTAATAGTAGTTACGTCTGTAGTAGGGTCACTAAATATAATTGACATCGTACTAGTAGGCTCCAAAGGTGTTTGAGTCGTTAATTTTCCAGTGGTTATTATTTCGCTCGAAGTTTCAGTATCAGTTAAGCTACTATGGTAACTTGAAGTCAATCGTGTCGGTTCTGGAGTTATTGCCGTTTCTGTAGTAGGTTTTAAAGTTGTTAAAGTTGTAAAACTTGTAGTTGTCGTTTTGTTAGGGCAAAAATCAACCTTCATGTAATCTTGTGCACCTTCATCAGTGTAACAAAGAAACGGAATTTTGCCGCCGCCAAAATAAACTCCTTTATGAGTAATATAAAAGTATTTTAACCATAGCAGATCGCAATCACATATCCACGGATTGTTTGAAATGTCATATAGACCTAAAACAAATAAGGTTATGTAGCATTACTAGATGTGGAAAATCATTTACTTATGTTTTTACGACAACTGTATGTTTTATGAAAACTTGTCTACAGCTAATACAGAAGACCATGAAGGTTTCATAGTGATATATAGTGATTTTAATGCAAAAATAAGAGTAAAAAGCGATCCAACTGAAAATTAACTTGGACATTTTGGTACTATGTGTAAAACTGAAAGGGACGAAAGACGATCGGCAAATGATCTATACTTGATATACAGCTCATTCGTTAAAAAAGAAGAGCAAGATTTAAGTTCATCTTCGTCCACACTTCGTCCACGTTCTCTCAGAAACAACGCTTGAAGCGATCGGCGATTTTGACTCAGTTACGCGCGCGAAATCAATGTTCAATAAAATTTCAGCTCGATGGTAAAAATTCGATTTCTTTTGATTCAAGTGACCTATTGTCAAAAATCAAGATGCGTTTTGAAGGTACGGAGTACAGCTCTTGTTTGCAACTTTTGTATTTTGCCGAAAATAAACTCAGTTTTTATGAAGGTGTTAAACAAATTAATGTAATTACTATTTAAATGGAAATAAGCTACAATTAGAGGTTAAAGTACGTTTTTATGTTGAGAACGATTTCCGAAGTGGAAATTGAAACGTCAATAAACGTATTTTATCTTTAATTGTGGCTTATTCCCATTTAAATAGTAATTAATTTAAAATGCCACAAGACAATAGCTTCAGACAATAATATAAATAAATGTACCGCGATTTTTGCCATTTTTTATAATTTACATGAGATCAATGCAATTTATCCCTTTCACTGACCGGCCACGATGAAGTTTTGATTACTATAGACCATTTCCATATTATTGATAGCAAAATATGTATGCAAATCCCTAAACTGTTGATACGGGTGACTCAATGAAAAATAGATATTTGTCAACAAGTTTACAGAAGTATATAGGAAAACAATTTTAAATTGAGTATGACCATCAGGTATAAAGGTTGGAGCAGAATAGAATACAATCGTTTTGAGGGTTAGTAATCCCTAAATAAAGTTTCCAGTGTCGGAGTGATGGAGATTATCAGGTACTAATGAATTTGCAAGAAATGTCAGATGTTGTTTTTATTGGTTATATATAAAATAATTTGTGGCTGTAACAGGACCGATTTGTAAAAAAATGAATATTATTTTAATCAAATTCCGTTTCAGATTCACTGCTTTCTCCAGAATCTAAGGAATCTTCAACTCCAATGTTCATTATTACCGGTTCCAGCATTGCATCAGTCATATTATCCAAATTCCACATTTTATTTTCTTCCTTGTGAGCATGACAGCATTTTTCCAATTTTCTGGAGTTACTTTTGATAAGGAATGTTCTAATAATTGTTGTAAGTCTTCTAATTTAAAAGTTTTGTTGTTGAGTCCGACTTCACCATTTACTTGAGACCATATATTTTCTATCGGATTCAGATCACAGTGGTATGGGGGTAAATGTAAAATAATTACATCACGGTTTAATGCCATTTCATCAATTATATATTTTTTGTAAGCTGCTTTATGTTGCCTTAAACTAGGTAATAATTCCTTTTTTGTCGAATTCTCCTTGTACTCAATTGCGTGTTTATCCAACCATTCGATTATCTCTCCTTTTTTCCATGCCGTTGTTGGCAATTTTTCTGCTAGTCTTGAATGGTAACTAGCATTATCCATGACTATGACAGAATTTTTTGGAATTAAATCCAACATTTGCTCAAAATATTTTTCAAAAACGTCAGCAGTTATTTCCTAGTGGTAATCTTTGGTTGATTTTGAGGCAAAACTTAATAATCCACCATTGACAAAACCGTATTCGTTTCCAATATGGGTTATTATGAGTCTGAGTCCTTTTCCAACGGGAATATTGTTTAATCCAGTAGATACAAATTCGATGAATGCCTGACGGGAACTTTTCACATTTGTATCAACCAATAGACATGGTACAGTATGACCTTCATTTAGCCAAGTCTCGTCCAAATAAAAAATTGTTTTCCCTTCTTCTCGGGACTTTTTAATAGTTCTTAGATAATCTCGTCTCCAACATACAATGTAATCTTATTCAATTAAAACGGATTTTCTTCTATTCTTTTGCCAACGAAATCCATCTCTCTCAATAGTCCCCATACTTTCTTGTTGCTTATGATTGGTAACTCTTCGTTTTCTCTAATTAATGTTTGGATTTTGTCCAATGTTGGAAATTCTTTGTAAAAAAAACGAGTAGACGCTGCGTCTTAATCTCTCCACTCTTCTTGGGAGATGAAACAGTTCCTCATTTTCTTTCTTTTAGGAATCTATAAATTGATGCTTCTCCAACCCTGTCATATTTGAACACATGGTAACGATTTCACGAACATTGCTTAAAGGGCGTTGATGTACAAGTGCATCGTGTACATTTAATATTATATTTTTCTCTCTTATACTGAAGGCACCTTTAAAACTACACTTAACCGGAATAAAACCTGTTGTCGACGTCATTTTTAAATGCAAATAACAAAATATCGACACCAAAAACGTAGGTAGGTAAGATATGAACAATGTACATCTACAAACTAAATGGAAGATGCAAACAATTTCTAATTTATATTATTGGCATAAGCTGTAATGTGGCATAAAAAACTACCTAAACTATGATTAGTGAAGCCTTGTCAGTAATTCCAGGTAATCGTTCAAAGAAGGTATTCTTTTTGTGTCAGGCGATAACTTGTATAGAAAACAATAATCACCTTTAAATTACTGTTTACATTAATTTATTTCGTGAAACATTGAATTCTATCGTTAGTCACCCGTGTATAATTAACAATAATCGTGTGGCATATATACCGATGTTTGTTACGCACAAAAAAGGTTTAGTGAGATTAGTGGACACTTATTTTACAGAAGATTTTTTAAAAGATAATGAATTGTTGACGGCATCTTAAAATAATAATTTTTTTTATTTATTTCAAAACAAGTATAGGGTGACGCCTATGGTTTTTTGACCTGTTGAGGATTTGCATACATAATGTGCTATCAATATGATGGAAAAGGACTATAGAACTAAATCTTTAAAACCTATTGCATGAAATTTTAGAATATTAATATTACTAATTTTTTATTTATTATTTCTCAACACGTAATTGGCTAAATAGCTAAGCGCTAAAGCCGCAAAAAAAACTTATTCACACTATAAACGACTTAAAACGTTTAAAACTGCTCTTTTTCACTTATACCAGTACGTTTTTTAAATGTTTCTAACTTTTTCTAAAAATTACACGCAAAACCGAGTTTTTGGAGGCAGTTCCCGTGACGTGCGTTCGTTTTTAATATAAAAGTTTAAATTCTGCGTTGCAGTAGTATCTAAGGGGCTCGGAAGACGGAGACCTCGGAAGCACTGAAGAAGACATCAAAGATGATGTCGAAAGCTCGGCGCAATTATAATTGACGCGGTTCAACCCGGAAAACTGTTGAGTTTAATATTAATTCTTATAACAGTATTAATCTTAGCTCTAGGTTTAATTGTACTCTTTTATTGTGGGTTAAATCTTTCGGAACTTACAAAATTAAATGTATGTGTTTGTCTTTTTAAATCTAATAAAAAATGATATGAAATTACCAAAATTTGAAGACGTAGATTGAAAGCCTCTAAAAATTCCCTTTGGTAATGTGCTTAGAGAGTTTTTATTAATGCTAAGCAAGCTTAAAGCCTGCCCTATGCCGTTGAATGTATCTTTTTCCATATATTTGATGTTGCAATCCGTTAAATACAGTTGACTAACTCTGGGTATGTCAATAAATGAGTTATTCTTCAAGTATTCTATAGAATTATACATCATATCCAATTCAACTATTTGCAAAGTTGTGCCTGTGCCTGTTAAATTTACGATATCCTATAAATAACTAAAAGTAAGTTATTGTTTTAAATAAATAAATGTAAGGAGTACAAGTAGTAAGAGGGAAGTAGTACTGCACTACTGCAGTAGTGCAGAGATCAGTGAAAAAGTGTAGTGAAGGGATCTGCGGATTTCGAAAGTTCAGAGCAGTAATAAAGCTTGAAAAATTTTTTATAATAAAATACATATATACGTTTTATATTTAATTTTAAATTTATGTTTAATTTTATAATAGTTTCCAAGATCCACTTAGTCCATAGACATGCCAACGCACAAAAAGGATAATTGTAAAAATTTTACCAATTAATCAGTGAACACCAACAAAGCTTTTGACAAAATATAAGTAGATCAACTTCATATACTATATTCATAGTCAGACAAATTAGTAGGAAATAGATTAATATTAACAACAAAATTAAGTAGATATTAACTCCGGGAAGAACCCAGCAGAGAAATAGCTTAAGTCCTCTATTCTTTAACTAGTAATGGAGAAAATAATAGAAGAAATTAAAAAGGTAGGGCAAGAATGCTAGCTGACAAGAATATAATCCTAATAATAACGAAGATAATCTGCAACGATCAGTAAAAAAAGCTGTTGAGACCTAAAACTGTTGAGAAAAATATCGTCAGTTAAAAAGAAATATTTAATATGATAGAATATCATATAAGAAGTATAAGATTTTCATTATACAGTCTCTGCTCAATTTATTAGACCCACCATGAAAATTTCAGTTTTTTTATTTCATCTGCACTGAAAGTATGTTTACTTGGATACTAACGTGTTAAATGGGTTGCATAACTATTGGGTAGATAGTTACGTAGAAAATGGTATAAATTTTTCTTAGAATTGTCAAAAATTTACAGATGATAGTAGAATATGTGCTTGGAGTGTAGAGTAACGAATTGTTTTACATTTTGAGTTTTTTTTTACTATAGATTTGTGGTTAGTTTGTTTAAAATTTGCACTAGTAAGTATTGACAACGAATTTCCATGGCGACATTATTTTAACACGCATTAGTAAATTGTTTTATTTAAGTTGTCAGTATTTTAATTTAAGTAAAAAGTTCGTTCAATTCAATTCTGAAAAATGGTTTGATTAACGGAAATGCATAAAATAACAGCTTTACAAATGATTGGTTACGGAGGTAACACCCGAACACAACAGAAAGTAACTCGCCTATTTCATGAGAAATTTCCTTATTTACCGCTTATATCCCAAGGAACAATAAGTAAAATAGAGAAGCAGTTTCGCGAGTTTGGTCATATAAGGCAGATAAAAAAAGCAGCTGCCAATGCACTGAGTGATGATCTCAAATTAGATATGTTGCTTGAGTTTCAGGAAAATCCACATACATCGAGTAGACAGACATCCACTACATTCAATGCTAGCCATACATCGATAGTAAACATATTAAAAGAAAATAAATTGCATCCCTATAAGATGATACCTACTCAGGAGCTCATGGAAGACGATTTTGATAGGAGAAGTTTTTTTTGTGAGCAAATGATGGACATGTTGGATAACAATATTATCCAATTAGAAGACGTTATGTTTTTGACTTGAGTGTCACTTTTTCACTTAACGGTCATGCTAATCGGCAAAATTGTCGCTACTGGGCCACGGAAAATCCTCATGGATGAGAGAAGAACACACACTTAATACCCTCAAAAGGTTAATGTTTGGGCAGGGATTGTAGGAAACAATATCATTGGTCCCTTTTTCATTGAGAGCAACTTGAACGGCAACAATTATTTGGCACTACTTCAAAATGATGTCATTCCAACGTTGGCAAATTTATGTCCTGATCCAGGAAACCCCCAAGTTCCAACGAATACGACATGCTTTCAGCAGGATGGAGCACCACCACATTACCAACTTAATGTCCAACAGTACCTCGATACAATATTTTTCAATCGGTGGATAGGGAGGCGAGGATCGATTGAATGGCCAGCACAATCACCTGATCTTACATTATTAGATTTCTTTTTATGGGGATATGTGAAGAGCCATGTGTACAAAACTAAACCTTCTGATTTAAATGACTTAAAAGAACAATTAGGTCGATCACGCCTGTTTTGTTAAATAATGTTAGAAGACAGTTTTATTTGAGATAAGGATGTTGCCAAGACGTTCGCGGTGAACATTTTGAACATCTACTTCATTTACATTCATAGTTCTTTTTCGTGTTCTACATTTTATTACGTTTGCATTACATTTTAGTTTCTGATTGTTTTGTAGCGAATTTCGGTAACCACATGATTTTAATTTATTTTATCTTAATTAATCTTAATAAACTTGAAAGCGACAACATTTTTGAATGGAGAATCTAAAGACCTTTCAAACGATATATCACAAGCCTATACTTCCTATCTTAAAAATTGGGGGTTGTACCTGTCATTCTAAGGGGGTTGAAGGTAAGGGTTGCATTTTCACGTTAAAGAATGTCAAGTTATAATTTAAATTTGACGTATTTCGGGATTTTTTATAAATATATACAGTAACCTAAATAATGAATTTATTCCATTTGGCTTTTACACACTGTAGGTGACTATAAAACACAGAAAGCTAGAATTTGCTAAGTGAGTTTAATAAATTGAACAAAGACTGTATAACTATCATAATATTTAGGATAAGAGGCATTTCAATTTTCCAAAATTGTCCGTATCAACTCAAACTTTTACTAGAAAATAATCGCAAAAAACTACTAAAATTTTCATTTTTAAGATAATGTTTTACGAGAAATTTGAGTCAGTGATAATATAAAATGCTCAGTTTTAAAATGAAATAACGCCGTAAAATCTTCAGGAAGTAAAATTAAATGGTGGGGAGATCTGCTGATGGACAAATAAAATAATATTCAGTCCATTATAAATATTAAACCCAAACACAAATCTAAATATAAATTTTTACCTCAGGTTCAAGATAACATCGTTGTATTTGTAGTACCTTCAATGTAGTTGCCACAGGTTGTAAAAATCCCCACTCAAAATCAACTGTCCTCGTATCGGTGAACCTGAACTCCATTCTAACAAGTTTGCTACCTTCTAAGCTACTCTTTTTTAAATTAGATAAATTCGTGTTGTCCAATATTAAAATTGATAACCTTTGAAAAGGAACACCACTAAAAACCCGTTCCCCTAATTCATCTACACTTTCTGAGATTTGGAGCGATTTTACTGGAAGGGGAAAGCCATTTAACCATCCTTCCTCTAATTTGCCATTAGGAATGGATAAACTCTTAAGTGTAAGTATTACGTTTCTTCCACCGCAGATCTATAAAAGATAAAAGTTATATAGTATACACTTATAATAGAATGAAAAAGACAGCAAAGATTAGATTTCACGTATAAAGCGTCTATGTATCTGTTTATACGCATTTCGGCCTAATAGGCCTCATCAGAACAGCTATTCATAGGCGTTCTCAACGTGAAAAATAAATCTTTTCTGTCTTTAAGAAGCAACATTAAAATGCTTCGATATGGACGCAATAGCGACATCTGATAATAAATCCGTAAAATAGTTTTCGAAAACCAATTCAGATTTCTGCTTTAAATTGAACCTTCTAAAAATTGCAAGGTAAACAGACGTTGATAAAGATGTTAAAAGAGACATAGGGAATCTAAAATTAGCATTCCACGACATGTCTCAATCAACTAAGCAGAAATCCTTAGCGAATTGGTTTCTTGTACTCATACAGAGTAGATCCGAATAAAATGAAAAAGACAGCTAAGATTAGATTTCACATCTTTATCAACGTCTGTTTACCTTGCAGTTTTTAGAAGGTTCAGATTAAAGCAGAAATCTGAATTTTTTTGAAAGTTTTGCGGTTCAATAAGTTAGGTTGCTACTTGTTACTAGTCTATATTTTTTGTTATATTGGTATACTCTTCATATGAACATATTTGAAGTTTCAAAAATGGATTTTGTGAGTTGATTTGTCAGTAGGGGTTTATCACCATGATCCTGAATCAAAACAAGAGGCTAAAGCGTGGTGTGAAACTGGTTTTTAGGCTCCAAAATGAGCTTTTGTCCAAAAATAGGCCAAGAAGATGATATAGTAGACGCCAAATCTGAAGAATCAGCGCATAAACCCGATTTCGTTTACTTAAAAGTCGACACGCCCACTTACACTTTAAACCAGTGATTCCCAACCGGGGGGCGATTGACCCACGGGTAGGGATGGCGGTTTTTGACAAAACACCGGTTTTCGGTTATACCGGTTTTTTTTGCTTACGGTTTAACCTGGCAGTTATAACCGGCCAAAAAAACGGTTTTTCCAAAAACCGGTTTTCGGTTTTTTTAATCCAATAGATTAGAAAGTTACATTTACAATGCACTTTAGTTTGCGATACTACATTCGACTCGATATCAATATGATCAAAATTAGTACTATCGAAAGAACATCAATATCAATGTAAATACAACACAATTTTTTGTGTTTTGTGAGAAAAAAATTCCCCAACAAAAATTTCCCAGACTCTTTCAAATGGGATTTAAAGAAAATAATATCAACATAAATATTTTACTTAAAAATAAATTGGATAATGCAATTCATCTTTTATTTTTACTACCATCAAAAAAAATTATCATGTATTACTTTTAACTCATTTACGACTTCCGGTATGGGTATAAATCGTTTTGAAAACGTAGGGAAATCCTTGGAGATTCGTATTCGTAATCGGTAATTCGATATTCATAGTCATTATTTTTGGTAATCAGAAAAAGCCATTCACCCACTTTCAATGTCAAGAGTCAAGTGTGAAAAATAGATGATGTATAAATACCAGATCACTTCTTATGTAAAAATATTATGATTACAAATACTTTTCAACGAAATACTATAATAAAATTTAATTGTTTCTGGCTGATGTGAGCTTGCACTTTCAGTTTGCTTTTGTATTTATAAAATAAAATAAAAATTGAATTTTAGTTTTGTTTGGAATAATTACTTGAGAATAATAATTATGATTGGGTGGGATCCAAAATAATACCTAACCTAATCCTAATCACTGTAAAAACCTAATAACCGGTTTTTACTTTAAAAATAAAAACCGGTTATAACCGGACAAAAAAACAACCGATAAAACCGGTTATTTCGAAGTAAAAAAACCGTTTTCGGTTAAAACCGGTAGGTTTTTCTCATCCCTACCCACGGGGGCGATTTGAGACATTCAGGGGCGATAGAACGAAATGGCGATATGGGGGGCGACAGAGAAAAGAGAGCGATAAGGGGGGCGTTTAGCATCCGGAAAACGAGAAATGGGTAATTGAGAAAAATAAGAAAAGAGAAAAAAAATATTTGAGACATTCAGGGGGGCGATAGAGCGAAGGGCGATATGGGGGCGACAGAGAAAAGAGAGCGATAAGGGGGCGTTTAGCATCCGGAAAAGAGAAAAAAAATACAATACTTTCGATTGGATATCCATAGGATAATAAAAAGTAAATATATGTATACCAATGCAGATAATAATAACACAAACATCTCATCTAGTCACAGAGAGCTTATGAATAATAATACAATTTAATTCTATACATTATCGTTATAATTATACATTATAACGAATTCTGCATTTTCCTTTGATCGAGCTTTCGTATTGTACGATCATCTGCACAAAATAGAAAAAAAGAGAAGTGCGATAAAAATGATGAAAGTATGTATCGCTCCTGCCGATTCTGTCTTTCAATTCAGACATAACCTTCCTACAAGGTATCATTGTTAATAGCAAAAAATGCCAAGCCGCACATAATTGGAGAAGAACTCATCCTACCAACTGTTAAAGAAATAGTTAATTCTATGTTGGGACCCAGTCAGACCAGCCAAGTAATAGATGCAGTTGCTCTCAGCAATAATACTGTCTCCAGAAGAATTGATGAAATGGAAGCGATTGTCGGAAGATGTTCTCTGCAACAAATTCAAAAGCAGAGAGTTTACTGTGCAACTTGTCGAGAGTACCCTGAGTGACTGCACAGCTTTGCTGCTGTCATATGTCCGATTCATTGACGACAATGGAGAAATGGCCGAAGAAATACTGTTTGCTAGAAGTCTAATTACTGATACAAAAGAATCTTTCGTATTTGAAGTCGTTAAGAGATTTTTTGAGGAAAAAGAGATTCCTTTATCAAATATGATCGCCTGTGCCACTGACGATGCAGCAGCAATGGCAGGACGCCATCGGGATTTATTGCACATCTGAAACAAGCAGTATCTGGAATTTTGTGTGTTCACTGCGTCATTCACAGAGAGAATTTGGCTGCCAAGAATTTGAGTGGAAGGTTGCACGATTCTCTTCGACTTGTCATAGATGCGGTAAATAAAATTAAGCAAATCCAAAGAATGATCGAATATTTCGTACATTCTGTGAAGAAAATGATGAGATATTTAATACATTGCTACTGCATACGGAAGTCCGCTGGCTTTCTAAGGAAATTCTTCCGGTTTTCAGTCTCATGGATACTGATGTTGAATTTTTTAATACTACTGACCCACACTGAGTACAGAACTACAAGAGAAGCGAAATGACATCGCTTACTTATCAATATTTTTCAAAAATTAAATGACATGAACCTGCAACTACAGAAAAGACATAAATTTGGCCAAAGTAAAGGGAGTAGTCGGAGCATTCCATTGACAAACTATCTACAGAGAAGAAATCTGACCAAATTCCCCAATTTGAAATCTTCTTGTGGTGATTCTGAGGATCTTCAAACATACAGCCTCCACTTCAAACACTAAAAGAAGATCTGCAGAACCCGATTCCAAGATTTGACTTGTCTGAAAGTGCCAACTTGTTTACCAATCCTTTCAGCGCGGAAGTTCAATGGTATGTCCTTCCCTACAAGAAAACTTGATTGATTTGAAACATGATGTTGAAATTGAAAGTTTGTTTCGGAAGTGGGGTATGAAATATTTGGCCGCGGATAAAAGAAGTGTATTCAATCTGTGGAATGCAATCAAATATTATATTAGCATTCCCACAAAATCGAATTAGGTGTATATTGAAAAACCAAACAACATAAAAGGCTCGACATAATAAAAAGAGGGGATTTGAGGTTGTTATTAACCAACATTGAGCCATAGACATAAAGAAATTATGTAAGGGACACCAGCCCAAGAAGACCATTAACAATTATTTTAAGCACTATAAACCATTTATCATTTTACGAAATGTAAAAAAAATAAATATGGATACTTACCCTTTATATAGATTATTATTTGTTCAATTTAATTGGGTCGGGGGGCGTTATATCATACTGGTGAAACCTGTCTAAGAGGCGATCATGGGAAAAAAGTTGGTAACCTCTTACTTTAAACCTATTCTGGTTACTGTCAGTAGCGTAACTACTTGTCAGTAACGATTGTACATGTACAGATGTAATAGTTTGCTTCTTGTGTCTGGATTTGCAAAGTGACCGGTGATGTGGATAATGTCTGCCATCGATGAAAAATAAAAAGTGTAGATCCGTGAAGCAGATTCACAAAGTCGTGAAATGACTCGTTTCATAGTATTTAAATATTTTGATAAAACAAAAAAAGAAGGGGTTACTTTAGAAAATATCAAACGGCAAACTTCACAAGCAACAGGTAAAACTATTATGTAGTTTATTTATAGCGAAACGCAGTTTTCAATATTCTTATATGCAACCTATGAACCTCGAAGTATGATAAATGCGCACACTTGGTTCTTTATATTCGGCGACTATTAATGTAGTCATATTGTGGGATATCAAAGGAATGTTCTTTGTGGGTTACTTGCAAAAAAAATAAATTCTGAATATTATTGTCACCCTTTACACCAGCAGAAGAAACAAATCGTTTTTTATCATAAGAATACACCATGTCATAAGAGTATGGATATCACAAACAGTGGCGGCTCGTGGCTTGAGAGACAAGGTCGGCGAGGTATTTTTTGTCTCCTCATATAGGTATACCGTCTAATAAAGACTTCAATCATCATAGAAGATTTTTTGTATTTTCTTGTTTTTTGTTTTTTTCCTATAAATTTAGAACCTAAACATGTTTATCAAATTAACTCTAGTCTACGTGTTTGGAACTAGCAAAATGGGTAATAACGTCATCGTAAAATTTATTAGAGTTTTGGAAAGATTTTAAGAGTTTTTTTTCTATTGACATTTGAGACAAGCTTGACATTCTCTCTTGTTTCATGGTATTTCGACAATACGATTTGATTCTTTTGAGACAAGAAAAATCTCGTTCATTTGAGGCAGACGTTGGTGGTAATGAGAGAATTAATGACAGTAATTTATTAATTTCGGTAACAGTTTGTTGTAATGAATTGCAATATATAAAATTATACATATCTTGATAACTCATCCCATCTTCCGAAAAATATTTGGATCAGCATATAAAATTTTGAATTCATTTTCTAATTTTATTTTATTAAAGAATGATGGATAATTTTTAATTAACGTGTCTAATAAATATCTTGGAATTCTTTAGCGTAACTTTTAAATTTTGAATCGTCAAAGAGGTCAAAAATTTGCAAATCTTCAAAATTCGAAAAACGAGTATCTATTTGCATAATAATAGTATTCCAAAATTTCAAAATATACTCGTTTTTTCGAGATCTGTTTCTGTGTTAAGCCTTTGTCTTTTTTTGGGGTTCGGAAATATCAAGCGAGCCAAACGTCACTGCGTCTATACCTACTGGAAATTACTCTCCATTACGAAATCTCGAGATTTTGCACCAGTCTTGTTATTCTATTATTTGGAATGAATAATGTCAGTTAACTAATTTTGAACAACATTGAATATCAAATCGGTTTGGGTAAACACTTATCTTAAAAATATTTAAAAGTATGTTAAAAGAGTAATCATTTAATAAAGTTTTCAAACCGATTGTCTCAGGATCGAGATATCATCACTTTCAAAATCGTCACATTCAATAATAAAATCAAAAACTTCCAAAGACTGTTCACAAAAATCTGCTACAATGAAAACTAACCGAGATTTAAAATTCCATCGCGTCTGACAAACTGTTTGGCATTTTTTTCGAACTAAACCGTTCTAAAACATTAGTCCGTTTAGGCGAGCTTGAAAAAATGAAGCAAATCCGCTTAAACTGGCAAAAAAGACGACATTCTTTAATTTTTTTACATGTATCCTTCAAACTAATATTTATTCTTCATTCATTACATTAAGCTCATATGGAAAGAAAGTTAATTGGTTGCTAATCAACTAATATTCCGTTGATTTTTGTTAGTAAATCGTCAAGGTTGGATCGGCTTGACGAAAAAACAAAACGTGCCTTTTTAAGAATTCACAAGCGGATGGATGTCTCCGATATCGGATCATCAATTTGAAAAGTGTTTACGCAGGACATCAACTGATTACCTGCCACAATTATTTATTGAAAACTGATTAAATTAAATATTAAAAAATCTATATTATCTATAAAGGTGCGACCCTGCTGACCCAGACCGGCCGCCACTGTCACAGAACCCTTAGGTGAAGTTTAAGGAAAGAACATGACGACTAAATTCCAAAGACAGATAGTATCTCGCCTGAACTAAGAAGAAAAATATCTAAAATTCTAAGATACATTATAATTTATATGTAATTACATAAAAAATACTCACATCAAAATCACTTTTCAATATATCTTGTACAGTCACTCCATCACAGCTAATAGCACAGCCTTCCGATTCAATTCCTACAGAACACTCACCATTCGTTTCTTTTAGTTTAAAATTATTACTTTCAAAACTTGTCAACGGCTTTGAAATTTTGCGGTAACCATGTCTTGCCGAACAATTTTTCATTTTGGAACCGTTCAGGTCAAAAATTCCTAGCGTATTGTCTAGTACAATTATAGCAACGCATATACAAAAAAATATACAAGTTACGGTTATTACGACTTTCCGCCATTTATCATTATCGTTCTTATTTTTCCTGCAAAATAAGGTATCTTTATTTACAAACAATAAACATTATAAAATATGTACAGAAATAATGTGCAATAAAATACAGTGCAAGAAAAAAATCTTTGGGCCGATGGAGAACTGCAAATAAACATAAAATATAGGGTCATGTGGTGGAAATGGGGTCAAAATAATTCTTCTTCTTAAGGTGCCGTGCATTTCTGCGTAGGCGTCCACCGTATAATCGTCTTATCAGGTGAGATGTTAAATTTCAGGATTAAATAATTCTGTTTTTAGCAGCTTTGCGAAGCATTTCATAGCTGTGGATTCCTGTCCATTGTCGAATATTGCGCAGCCATGACATGTTTTTACGTTCCAGACCTCTCCTACCCTCCATCTTCCCTTCGAGTATCATTTACTGAAAAGTGTATCTTTCTCCTCGTAATATGTACCCCAAGTATGCAGTCTTTTTACTTTTTACATAACTAAAAAGTTCCCTATCCCGTAAGCCCGCTCTTCGAGTATTTCCTCATTTCTGACCCTGTCCGTCATGATATTCTGAGCATTCGACGCAGACACCACATTTCAAACACTTCAAGTTTGTTAATGGAACTGGCCTTTAACGTCCATGCTTCCATTCCGTACAGAGAACAGGCCACACGTAACACTTAAGCATATTGTAATCGAGGTTGAAGTCCAATTTGCGATCAGTCAGAAACTTACGAAGCCTCAAAAAAGCATTTCTGGTTTGTTCAACTATGCTCTTTATTTCATTCTCGGGGTCAATGGGGAATAATAAGGTCAACGATAGTCAAAATTCTAAAGCATCTTATATCGTAATTAAAGTATAAACGTAATATTCCTTTAATATTTAAAAAAAAGTGGAAAATAGTTTATGCATTTTAAAAGGAAAAAAATTTAAATTTCGTTACCCAACTTTCATCGTTCGAGTGCTGTTACGAGTACTTCCATAGTCGTTAGCCCTTTTGAGCGACAGTCAGTCTTGAAGCATTAAGATACGTCGAATTGTTTAGCAGGAGAAAAAGTGAGACACTCTTCTAAAGGCAACATTAAATCATATCAAAGAAGAAAAGATTAATTTAAGAATGGCATCAAAACACTTTAAAATAGATAAATCCACGTTAAGTAGACGATTCCATCATCATCATCAGTTGGCGCTACAGCCCTTCGTGAGCCTTGGCCTGCTTCAAAACATTCTTCCGTCTGCCTCTCCACCCCTCACTCCAATCTCCCTCAGATCTTCCTAGTACATCGTCCAGATATCTGAGTTTAGGTCGCCTCCCTTCTTCTTCTTCGACCGGCCTGTTTAGCATAGTTATTTTAGTGGGATCACTCTCATCCATCCACATAACGTGGCCCACCCACCTTAGGCGGTTATTTTGAGTTTCAAATTGGTCATCAAAATCTATAGTTCAAGTTATATCTCGCATCACCACAATATGTCTATAGAGTTCTTTCAAAGAATAGTATCTTCATCTGGTCGCATGCTTCCGATCTATGTGAGCACTGGGCGTATTATTGTTTTATAAAGTTTGCACTTTGTTGTTATTGACATACTTCTCGCTCTTAGTTGAGGGCCCAGGCCAAAATAACAGCGGTTAGCCACGCATATTCTTTATCTTTTATCTCTTTGGATGTGTTATTTTTGTAGTCTACAGTGATCCTAAGTCAAATCTTCTACCTTTTCTATCGTTTCGTGTTGCACCTCTAAGTTATTTTGTTGCATTCTTGATATGGCAGGCATATATTTAGTTTTCTGGATGTTAATCAGAAGTGCGATGTTTTCTAGCCGCATTTTTGATACGTGTGAAAGCTGCATCCACTGCTCTATTTTGGGTTCTTTCAATTATGACGATATAACCAGCGTATGCCAATATATGTATACTACGGTATATATCGTACCTTTTAAGTTTATTCCGAAGTACCGAATCTCTCATAACTTTTTCTAACGCTAGGTTGAACAGCGTGCACGATAGCGCATCTCCCTGGTGCAGTCCTCTGTTGGTTTTAAATGGTTTTGAAACATCCCCTTGTACGCGCATTTTACATTCGACTTTCATCATTGTCATTTTAATTAATTCACCAAACCTTTTGGTATTCCTAATTCGATCATCGCCGAATATAATTGGGACCTGTCAATAGTATCGTTACGCTGCCTTAAAAGAAGTAATGGCAGTCTATGTCGTACTCCGTCGTTTTTTTTCTAATATTTGTCTGATGGATGAATATGTGATCAATGGTAGATTTGTTTTTCAAGAAGCCTCTTTGGTAGATCCTATTATATTGTCATATACCGTGCCAGTCGTTCGTTAAGTATCAGGGACACAATTTGTATGCTGTATTAAGAAGGGAAATTCCTCTAAAGTTGGAACATTCAAGAACGTTTCCTTTTTTGTGTATGGGGCATATAATTCCATATTCCAATCTTCTGGTAACGTGCGTTCTTGCCATACCTGTATTAGTAGTTTGTGAAGGAGGTTACAAATATTTGAACCGCTACATTAAATATTTCTGCGGGTAGGTTGTCTGCTCCGGGTGACTTGTTTCTGGCTAGAGACTGAATTGCTTTGTTTATTTCTTCCAAAGTTGGTAGTTCAGTATCCTCGTGTTCTATTTCTATATCATATCTACCTTCAGCTCTACTTTCTCCATTAAGTAGCGTACTAAAATGTTCCTGTCCATCTTTCTAGTACTTCCACTCTCTCGTTTAAAAAGAATTCCGTTAAGGGCTTGACTCGCTTGTTCGCTTGTGGCTTGAAAACTTTCTTTTTGTCGTTAACCTATTTGTAAAATTTTCTGTATTATTGTTCTCTGTTAAGGTTTTACATTTCTTCGAACTCTTTATTGATTTGTTGCTGCTTTTTATGTTTGTATTTTTGTTCTTTTCTCTCGTCTCTTTACTAGATATTCTTCAACATTGCTCCTAGTCCTTCTGTTGATCATTTTCAGATACCGTCGTTCTTCTCTCCGTTACCTTGGCATTTCTCATCAACCAGTTGTTGTCGCTGTCCTTTGGGTACTTCACCCAGCACTTCCTCTGCGGTCTCTTTGAGCGTGGTTTTCATAAACTCCCAATTTGTGTTAAGTTCAGTGGGATATACCTCACTTCTCGGACGATTCCATGGAAAACACAATAATTGGAAACTCTTAAAATAGTTGAAGACTTCTACAAATTGCTGTACACAAGCCAACGCAATGCAAATAGCGGAGAAGATAAACTACCAGAAATATTAACAAGGAACAAGGACATTGTCAACCAAGGATCAGAAGTACTACCGGAAATTACAATAGATGAAATAAAACTAGCCCTAAAAATGCTCTTCTTCTACATGCCAAACCAAGTGCGACACTATCTCGTTACTAGAATTTGTTCTTGCGGCGTGACACAGTCACCTTATTGTAAGAAAGCTAAGAATAACAAATATCCAGGCAAAGATTGGGTAGCTACTGATGCAATCAAAATTGGAGGCACTTGCCTTCTTAAGAAAGTAAAAAAACTTAACTGGTAAGAGAAAGGCCTGAACATTGACGGTAGAAGATTAACAAATTTGAAATTCACAGACGACATAGTTTTGTTCTCGTCAACTTTAAGGAAATAAGTACAATGCTACATGAACATAAGTTAGTGTGTGCCAGTGTGGGTCTTAAAATAAACATCCAAAACAAAATTCATGACAAACCTAGTACCTAGCGAAAATATCAATATTGAAGACAACGAAGTAGAGCTGTTGGAAGAAAACATATATCTTGGACACGAAATAAAGATCACAAGAGACAACCAAACATGCGAACTACGAATAAGAATAAACCTAGTATGGGTAGTCTGTGGAGAACTTTAAGACATTTAAAAGCGATATACCGTTTTCTTCCAACATAAAACATGTGACCAATGTGTGTTGCCCTTGATAAGCTATGGTGCCAAAATTTTGACATTGACATCTGCAACTTCTAAAACGGTGCAAATAGCTCAAGGGAAATGGAAAGGTCAATGCTGAGTATATCGCTTCATGACCGAGTTAGAAATGAAGACTTAAGACGAAGAACAGGAGTTAACGATTTAATTTCCCGAATTGCCACACCGAAATGGAACTGGGCCGGACACGTCGCTCGAATCAGTGATGAAAGGTGGACAAAGAGATTGATAAAGTGGAGGCCGGGGTTAGACGAAAGAAGTAGAGGAAGATCCAACTACTCGTTGGACTGACGATCTCAAGAAAATGCCAAGAAATTGGATGTAAAGTGCTCAAGATAGAGCACAATGGACAAAAATGAGGAAGGCCTATGTCCAGCAGTTGACGCAAAGGGATGGATGATGATGATATATATGAGACTAAAAAACTGTATTTCAATGGAATATTATTGGGTGTTCACTGCACAAGTGAACCAATGAAGAAACCGCCCCTGTATCTCTACCTAACGTGACATTGAGAGTTTGAACAACTTCAAATAGAAAACTTAAAGGAAAAGATCAAAGCAGAGAGAGGAATAGGGAGAAAGAAAAGTTATGGCTGCGCAACATAAAAGAGTGACCCCAAATAGGGGGACATCAATTATTTTGTCAAGCTAAGGACAGACAGAAATTTGCCATATTGATCGTAAACCTTGATTTTTCCGTGAATTTGAAACATAACTACTTCACCAGTAGTGGAAAGCAAGGAAGAGCACCACTTAAATGATAACGAACGCAAATTGTGACATTTCGCTACGGGGAACAAAGGGGGAGGGCAAAGAAAACATGGAAGTTTAGATTAGACGAGTCTGTGAAGAATGTAAAGCTTTTTAATTGCTGAAGCCGCCAAAATATCATTATCAATATACTGATAATTTATCTCCCACATATTTTTTATTTAAAAAATTTATTTACGTAACTACAGCCTGATTAAACTTATTTCCGTAATATAAAAATTGCAATATCCATTTAGCTCGTTGATATGTTGGATATTATTTATCTTTCACTACTAATTCTGTACTAATGTACAATCTGTCATCAAAATGTTTGGCTTTCTACGTATTTATAAATCGTGAAAAGTGATGCAACTGTAACACACAAACCGTGATGTTCCAAACAATATAGTTGTGATAAGGAAATCGTTAATAATTTCATTTCAATTAATTTTGTCGGAAACTAAACGATTAAGACTTAATATACAGGGTGTATCATCATCAGTTGGCGCTACAGCCCTTCGTGAGCCTTGGCCTGCTTCAAAACATTCTTCCATCCTTCCCTATCGAGTGTCTGTCTTCTCCAGCCCCTCACTCCAATCTCCCTCAGATCTTCCTGTACATCGTCCAGATATCTGAGTTTAAGTCGCCCCCTTCTTCTTCTTCTTCCGACCGGCCTGTTTAGCATAGTTATTTTAGTGGTATCACTCTCATCCATCCTCATAACGTGGCCCACCCACCTTAGGCGGTTTATTTTGATGGTCTTCACAATATCTGCATCACCAAAAAGTCTATAGAGTTCAAAGTTATATCGCCTTCTCCACAGACCCTGTTCGTTTACTCCGCCATATATGGTCCTCAATACTTTTCTTTCAAAGACTCGTAGTAACTCTTCATCTCGGGTCGTCATTGCCCATGTTTCCGATCCGTATATGAGCACTGGGCGTATTATTGTTTTATAAAGTTTGCACTTTGTTGATATTGACATACTTCTCGCTCTTAGTTGAGGGCCCAGGCCAAAATAACAGCGGTTAGCCACGCATATTCTTCTTTTATCTCTTTGGATGTGTTTTTTGGGTGTATACTTCCACAAATAACTCTGAAAAGCAATATTGAAGAAAGTATGCCATTTTTATTTGAAAAACATGTAAAACCCAATAATAAAAAAGTGTCCCTGGATGTTTGATGAAACTTAGTTGAAAAAAGAAGATCATTATGACAAAGCTCTTATAAAAGAGAGAGAAAAAGTCAATACAGATAGTTCTCTTCCCATATTTAAAGGAATCATATGGCTAGAAAATATGCAGAAGATGAAAATCTTGCTATGGAAGTTGCACTATCGAATATTAACCTGTAAAATAATGAAATAATTTTGCTATGCAGAGAAGAGGCTCATTTAAAAATGACTGATCTGAATTTGATGACAGAAATGTTAGAAAAAGGGCAGCATAAGGCAGTAAAAACTATTGAAATGCACAAGAGGGTCTTTAAATATGTTTTTAACAGAATTTAAAAGTGCAGGTGGTCAATTATACGATAGTGAAGTTGTATCACAGTTACTCTCTGCAATGTCTGTAGCATGTCAGGCAGTTACTACAGCAATTGATATTATGTTTTGTCAAGATGAAACTAAAGTTACATTAGACTTTGATATCAGGTTAAATGCTCGAATAAATGAACTTTGAAAAATTCAAGGCAAATATCGAACACAATTTTAATAATCAACTCTTGCCCAAGTACTTTCGCTTTCTACAGCATCATCAGGGGTATTTCGTCAAATTTGGGCTATCGAGCAAGCCCAGAATGTATTAAACATGAAATTGAACATAAAATTGTACATAACACTACACTAAAACAAGAACAAACAGTTTAAAACTATTTAAAAATTATTCTACGCTCTACATTCTTGTCGGCAACACCTGTTGAATTCCTGATGTTGAGGAAGGTCTGCACATCTGGTTTAAACAACAACGAAAAAGACAAGCTACTATTTCAGGTGACATTTTAAAAAATAAAGCTTATTTTTTATCAGGAATTAACAAAGAAAATTGATTTTTGTGCTAGTCAAGGTTGGTTCGAAAACTGTACAGAGTGCGATGTACGATGTTTGCAGATGAGTGGACAGAAGTTTAGTGGATATGAGTCTGAGATATCTGAATTTATTTAGAATTTAAGCAAAAAGATCATAAAGTTAGACCTAATTTCTGAACAACTTTATAACGCTGATGAAACCGGTCTAAACTGACGGCAACTTTCAATAAAAACATTTGTCACTTTAGACGAAAAAAAAAGTTTTGGTAGAAAACTTCAGAAAGAACGTCCCTTTCATGGTCTGGGCGAATGCATCAAGATCCCACTAACTGAAATTGAAACTGTGGGTAAGTCCAAAAAACCTCGTGCCTTCAAAAATGTTAAAATTAAGAAAACTACCAATTAAGTACATGTGGCAAAGCCCTGCCTGGGTGACAAAAAGTACAAGGTTTTGTCTGGACTGGTACAAGAACAGCTTTATCCCACAAGTGAAAGATGAGCTAAGAAAAAAGATACTGCCAGTGAAAGCTTTTCTCTTGTTAGACAATGCTCCAAGACATCCTGATAAGGACGAATTAAAAATCAAAACTGCCGATGGATATATCGAGGCAATGTACTTATCGAAAAATACTACTGCATTGATTCAGCCCATGGATCAAAACGTTATTAAAACTCTCAAGGCGCACTACAAAAAACAACGCCTTGTGGATATTGTAAGTCAACTCAATCACTTTAATTTTGAATAACTTTAAGATCAAAGATGCGATTATCAATGCTGCGTTTGCCTGACAGCAAGTCAAGCCTACCACACTGATTAAATTGTGGAAGAATATTTGGCCCAACAACCCACTCCTTCCAATAAAAGTTAACAAAGAATCCAATAACCAACCTGTAGAAGTTGTACTAAATGCTGCCATTCAAATTTGCAACAATATGACTAATTAATCAGAATCAAGGCAAACTTTGCAAGAGTAGAAATTAGATGACAATCTCAATGCTAACTTAATAGATAATAAAATAAAATAATTAAAGAAATGACAGAATCTGATGAACACGTGACAGAGGAAGCACTTACGCTTTCAACTATGATGATGCTATATTGGCTGCAAACACTTTGATGCGTTGTTGCGAGGAGAGAGCATATGACTGAGAACATTTTGATGTTAAAGGAGATACAAGAACAAGCAATGACAAACTTTCTAAACAAGAAAACATAAAAGACAATCAACGATTTCTTCAAAGTGTGAGCACAGTACGTATATATTTACAGTACATAGTTATTAGTAGGTACGTATAATGTTAATAATAAGGTATTATTTATATACTGTATGTACATTAAATTTATTAGCTTCCAAATTTCTTTCAATAAACATGTTTTAGTTAGCAGAAATGGATGTTTCATTTGCATATTAATGTGGATTTAAGAATATTGTAGGCTACTACTAGCAAAACATTGCCAAATATATAATCACTTTCGGTAATCCAGACACTTTTGGTAATCCAACACCCCTTTGGTCGTATATCTGTCAGATTATCAAGGGACAACTGTATTTGTTTGTAATGCTTATAATTTAATTCCTAAGGAAAGTAGGAAATCTAAATTTGATCCTCTTAGTGAAAAACTGGTTATGGTGGGTTATTCAGATAATGGAACACACATAAACGACATCGTTATGGTGATGACACTGCCATTCTCGTAGATAAGTTACAGGATTTACAAGAACTTCTAAAGAAAAGTACACACTGGAAGAGTATGTCACTAAAAAAAGAAGCACTGAAGAATAAAATAAAAACCTAATGATAAGAAGGAGCGAAGACAAGGAAGCTTACTTACTTCAAAATTAGATCGTACATGTTTAAAGTTTTCCAGATAAACAAAAAACTTCTACTACACGAAATGTTAAACTCATATCGTGTTCAATCTCTAAAACTACACAATCGACTAAAATTAATAATATAATGGTGAAGTGGCATTAAATCTGAAAATAAATAAAGCAATAATACCACTCTAATGACATTGTTATGTTTTTGAGTCACTTTTAGTGCGATAAAACGATCGATACAATTTCTAATTAACAAAAATAATCAAGAGCATAAGTCTGCAGATTTTTTGGCAAATATAAATTTGTTGTGTTGTTGGATTTCGGCTTCAAAATAAGCCGGCGTGTAAACTAATGAAAAGAATACAAACAGATAAATTGAATTCGTTAATTTTGATTTGTTAAATATGTCGAAAAAATATTACCCCAGTCAATCTGTGAAAAAATCATCGTTTTTTCGTAAAATCTTATACAGGTTCTTAGGTTTTAAGGTTCTTAAAGATATATGAGGAATAGCTGATGAAAAATTAATGAATGAATTAATGATGATTAACAATCATAAAATGTGAACAAAAAATTAGCTAGATCAATTAAATAGTTTGTCAATTGTTCAATTTTTTTTATTATTGAGTTAATGCCTCGACAACTAAGATCATTGGCATGGTAAAGTCAGGTACCTAGTGTAGTGTGTGAGTGTATGTGTAGAGTAATTGTCTTGATACTTAGCAAAGTCGACGTCATTGTCTTTGCTAAGATACGCTAATTGTATCCGAACGTCTGCGGTCCCTCCGGTGAGTACCGATCGCACAAGGATAGAAATTATTTTCATTTATTAATTTTTAATAAACGAAAATTTCTCCACCCAGATGAGATTCGAACTCACGACCTTTAGGTTTTAAGGTAGGCGCTCTTACCACTGAGCCACAGAGGGGGTTAGTTGTTCAATTTGTTTATTCTGAAAAGGGATTATTTAAACAACTTTGTTGTACTTACACAGATAGTGACTATAGAGGTATTTAACCATCGATTCCTTGAGGCTTCAATTACAACATAAATATATTACATTTACAATACATTTTATCACAATTGTTATTATAAAACAGATTAAGAAAGAGCTGATTTTTTACTTATAAACATCTATAATAACGTTGATATTTTTATGTCACGCGTTTGTAAGTAGGTTCACTGAAAAGATGGCGTAAAAACTACAATCTTTAAAAAAGAACCTTCTATGACCAATAGAAACTGAAATATTATATTTTTTTCTCAAAATCATACTTTCATTGTTTATTAAGCCTTGAGTGTTCGGTGGATCCTATAAGACCAGCGACAATTTATTTCTAATGCCTCACTGCTTATTTTATGTCGGAGTGATTTGCGTTCGTCTTCGTCAGTAACTTGCCGTCCACATGTCGAACAACAGTGAACAACGGCATTTGCATTAGTGTATAATAGTTCGCTAGTTATTGCACTTTTGGCCTGCCAGACTCTACCCGACCACAGAATAATAAACAAACAGAATGCCCACTCTCCACGGAAAATTAAGTACGCGCATCTCCTTCGCGCAGACGTTCCGCCATGTTTTACGAGGATTTTAAAGGAACCAGTGTTGTTTATGTGGTGTGCATGGAAAAAAACCAGGTTTATTTGACTTACGGCAATCATAGACATACTATACAATTATAAACAGTTTTAAATATAATAACATAAATATAATATAATTAAACATAAATGTAAACAATTACATAACCTCACAAATCATATGTTTGTGTCCTCCTAAAACATGGCGCGCGTGCTGAAAAACTTCAAAGGCGGCATCTGAGAGTGGGCCTTCTGATTGTTTATTATTCTGTGACCCGACTATTCGAGTAACTTTTGTGAGTTCGAAAAATAAATTTATTTTGCTATTTTTGTGAAGTATAACCTACATAGAGTAAGTATTTTAATTCCTATGGTTATATATAAATATAACCCACCCAGACGAACTCTATTATCGGTCCCAGTGGGAAATAGGAGTAGAGGCAGACCACGACTGAGATGGAGGGACGGTGTGGACGAGGACGCAAGGAAAATCGGCGCGGCAAATTGGCAACGGTTGGCGATGAACAGAAACGACTGGCGAAATAGACTGGGGAGGTCAAGGCTCAATTAGAGCTGTAGCACCACTGATGATGATGATGATATATATAGTAATGTTCCAGCCTTTAATTTTTTCTCTCGTATTTCATATTTCAGTGATGGATCCTTATCTGAAAAAAATTCAAAGATTACAACAGCTCTATGATGAAGTAGAAGAAGAAAATATTAATTTGGAAAGCGAGCCCGAATCAAACAGGTGTGAAGAAAGTGACCGCAACACAGACACAGAAGGAGAATGGGAGGAAGAATTAGAAACAAAATTGGAGGAAGGATTGGGAGAGAACCTGCAACTTCAAAATATTTTGAAACAAATACGGGGAACCGGCTTTATTATGCAAAAGATTGAATATCCTGTAGAAAACATGCGCCTCCAAAAAATGTTTGGACAGGAAGTTCTAATTTAATTTCATACTTACCAGGTTCAAAAGGAAATGCTTGTCAAGCAGTTGATCCTTTAGAGTGTTGGAAATGTTTTATTGATGATAATATTCTCAAAACCATTGTACAGAAAACAAACATATTTATTTCTAAACTAAGAAACAATTATGCAGATCCGAATGAGGCCAGACATACAGATACTATGGAAATAAAGGCGTTAATTGGTCTATTATACACCTAGCTGGGTTTCCAAAACAATCCGCCGAAATTGTAAAGAATTTTGCGACTTATGCGATGTATTCTTGCTACATTGCTTGCGTTTTGATGACGTAAATACTAGAGAAGAAAGAAAAACCATAGACAAACTTTTGAGCAATTTAAAAAGAAATGTAAACTTAATTACGTTTCTGATTCTTATTTAACATTGGACGAGATGCTTTTCATTCGTGGACGTTGCGGATTGCATATGTACATCCCGAATAAGCTAGCCAAATATGGCATGAAACTATTTTCCTTAGTGGACGCCAAATGTTTTTACACAGTAAATAAGGAAGTGTACGTTGAAGCTCAGCTTCCAGGGCCATATCGCTTTAGTACTACAACCACCGATTAAGTGGGAAGAATATGTGAGCCTGTGTTTGGATCGTCTAGAAATATAACCATGGATAATTGGTTTACAAATTACGAAATTGTAAAACGCATGCTGGAGCAGCACAAAATTACAAGTGTTGGAACAATTCGAAAAAATAAAAGGGAGACTCTTGATCTCAGCGGACCACAGTACTCGTCTATGTTTTGCATTTTCCAAAAACATTACTTTGGTGTGTATATGCCAAAGAAAAAAAATCGTGACGCTGCTATCATCTTTTCACTAAGATGACTCGATTGATGAATATTCTGGAGATGCCTGTAAGCCCAATATTATTTACTTTAATAACATTACAAATACAAAAATGGAAGGATAGAGAAGAATGGAAGGATAGAAATGAAGACGACCTAATTTCGAAACGAAAATTGCTTCTGAAATAAATTGGTTTAGCCTTGACAAGAGAGAACATGCTAACCAGAGCAAGAGACCCTCTTTTACAAAAGGATATCAGAAATATCGCCCAAAAATTAAGCGGAGTACATGCAGACTCCAGTGCCTCCGCATCCAGATACACGAGATCGTTGAGCGTATTGTCCAAATCATAAAACACGATATTTAGTGTCAAATACCAAAATGGCTATGCTTAGAGCATGTTAAACCGATTTGCGGAGACTGCAATGAAAATTGAAACTAGGATTAGAATTTTGTCTATTAAATGTAAGCGAAGTACATTTTTGTTAACTTTTTTTTGAATTTTCTTAAAGATGTTGTTTTATCATTGTGTAAAATAAAATAAACTGGGCCTCACCAGTCTCACCCGACTGTTAATGTGATTTGCATGTACCCTATTACTCAAAGATTAATATTAAGAGCTGAAAATTGAACACATTATAAGTGAAGATCTGGATTTTATGATCCAATTTATAAATGGTAAAAACCTATTACCCGTTACGATGATCGTATTCGTAAAATACCGCCAGGTTAAAGTGGAGGGGAGAAATTTCCGAACTTCGTTTTTTTTAGAATGGAATTTCAAAGAGAAACTCGCTGAAAAATATTGCAACATCTCTCTTCCTATGGCTTGAACCTCTAATTTTTTTTACATAAAAAAGTTATTGTATTTTTAATGTACCTTAATGCCTATGGTTGGTACTATGCCTACGGTTCGCTATATGTATAACAATTTATCTTAAAAAGCGAAAAAAGAAGAAGAACTAATTAGGTTATGTTTATGTTTATCAGTCTGAAGAGGTTTATGATTTAAATAATCGGCCAAAAAGATTTTAAAAATGGGCCATACGGCAAAGAAATACCAAACCAAAATTGAAGAATTTCAATCCTACTTTAAAAGTCATAATAAATATAAAGAACATGTTGGTCATTCCTCTAAAGTCCATTCTGTGGGTTGGAGTTGTGATGGCAAGAGGTTAGCATCAGGATCTTTTGATAGATCTGTTTGTGTATATACATTGGACAGGGATAGACTGGTGAGATATATAATTTATTATGTTAGATATCTAAAGTAATGTTCCTATTTAAACCAACCTTCTTACTTTATTCAAATATGCCTTTTACATGTATGCATCCAACAATCATTAAAGCACTTTAAAACAGACTCAAAAACAGAAAAACTAATAACAAAATAAAAGAGTTGACTGTTTTAAAATTGCCAAATAGACCATATTGTCCTGTTAAAACAAGGAAAAGAAATTGCAGAAATCCTGTTACATATTTGAATTCATAAAATCAATTACCTTGTATAGTTCAATTTGCAGCAGTAATTATTTATGCACAGCTTTTTTTAGTGGTCTACAGAATTACTTTAACATTAGCTGGTAAAATTTTTCATGCTGAATACTTTATCAATTAATCTTAAAGGTTTTTTTTTTAAGTTTCTACGAAATTTCCTCAAACAATGGACTGTTGTGGATTATTTAATGCTGAAATGTTCAAATTCATTTAAAAGTGAAAAAAATTACCTTTACTGAGGCATAACTCAATTGGTATTACCAATACAAAAATAAAACAGCAACAACACTTTTGATATTTTGTAAGCTTCATTTTTGTTCAGAATAGATTTTCTATAAAATGAAAAGTTTTTGAATTTATTTTTATATCTTATATAAATAATATTTATATCTTAATTCTCCTTGTTTTTATTTTCAGAACAAGGAATATGTGTTCAAAGGCCATGGAGGATCAGTTGACCAGCTTTGTTGGCATCAGTCTCATCCAGATCTTCTTAGTACTGCCAGTGGTGATAGATCTGTACGAATCTGGGATACAAGAGTTCAAAAATGTGTCAATACTATTATGACAAAGGGTGAAAATATCAACATAACTTGGTCTCCAAATGGCAATTCTATAGCAGTAGGCAACAAAGAAGATTTGGTTACTTTTATTGATGCTAGAACCTACACTATACAGGCCGAGGAACAGTTTCATTTCGAAGTAAATGAGATATCTTGGAATAATACCAGCGATTTATTTTTCTTGACCAATGGTCAAGGATGTGTTCATATTTTAAGGTACATTCATTTACTAATTAGATTTTTTCTCATAGCGTGTAAGTACACATTTTTGTTTTGTTCAGATATCTGTCATAAAGTCAACCCCTCCTTTCCTATTCTGCAACCTTTTATTTTTAGATACAGAATATACCATGGGTCACATCAGTATATAGGCACTTGATAGAGTATTAATTTTTCTTTCCATATTTACCACATTAAAACTAGATGGTTTCATGTTATGCCCACAAGTTATCTAATTACATTGTTGTTGTTGGTTACATGTGTATAATTAATGTTACAAAACAGTTTTTGATGCTTCATATGTATTTTTTAAAGTAAAATTCTAATTTATAGTTACCCCGACCTAAAACGTCAGCATATTTTGAAGGCCCATCCAGGAACTTGTATTTGCATCGAATTTGATCCAACAGGAAAGTACTTTGCTACCGGAAGTGCTGATGCTTTGGTATCTTTATGGGATATAAATGAATTAGCGTGTAAACGAGTCTTTACAAGGTAAAAGTATTATTCTTTTCACTGTTATAATGTTTGTAAAGTAGTCTAGATCATTATGGACACAACTAAATTCAATTTAAGAAATTAAAAAAGGGACAAATATATTGAAATATGAACTAATATGAGACAGATTTTACTTGTTTTCTTTTAGTTACTTCTGCATACTCTATGTGCTCTATGTAAATGGGGAAAAACATAAAGGCATGGATTACAATGTGACTGTTGTTGTTTTTGACATATCTTTTCTGTAGAAGCTTTCTTTTGGTTTTTAAACCTAATACTTATTCAGGTATTTTTTCAATGAGCATTTTAAAAATTGTATATTTAATATAAAAATGATTTCAATAAATTTGCTGGTGAAATATCGCTGATAGAAACATTAGAATATGCTTACATTAATTCATAAATGAACAAACAAAAATCTTGAGACATGGAAATATATAAGGTTATATCTTTTTCAATGTATGATAGGTGTACCTCAAGGCCCAATACTTGGGCCTTTATTTTTCATTATATTTGTAAGCGACCTAAACACGCTTTGTTCAATGCCAGATATAATTGTTCAGTATGCTGATGATACCAATATTCCCATGTCTCACAGTGAACCCATACAAGTGGTGGAAAATACCAATGTTGTATCTGCTGAATTTAGCACATCTTGTAAAAATAATGGACTCAAGCTTAAATCATGTATCAGCAAAGTTAAGTACATGTAGCTATATAATGTGTAATTTAAGAGAAACTGTCTCATTTGATACATTGCAGATGATTTACTTTAGTTTAGTCCAGTCTGTACTTCAGTATGGCTTAATATTTTGGGGTTGCTTATCTCATTTTGAACGGGCATTTATATCTCAAAAGAAAGTTTTAAGAAGTCTAATATGTTAACACTAACTAGCCTTTTAATTTTCCAATTAATATTGCACATTGAGCAAAACAAGCTTAAGTTTGACAGTAATGAGGACATTCACTCACATGATACTAGGGGTAAATCAAATTTTCGACAACCTTTCTCTAGATAGGTGTATCCCAACATGCACCTGAATATATTTTTAATAAAATGTTACAATAAAATAGTCAATATATTAACTCTCAGTAATTCTTCACATAACGGTTTTCGCCAAACTGAGTATTCATTTTTAATGGACAACACATTCTTCAGTGTTGATGGATTTTTAAATTTTTACATTTTTGCAACAATAGTTCTAAATTTGTATTTGTAACTTATATTTGTAACTTTTATTTCTTATTTATTTTATTGTAGTCACTTTTTTATTTGAATCATGTGTACTTTTGCTATATATTGTACTCTTTTGTACTAAAATTTTGACTAGTCCGACAAGATTTATAGTTAGTTTGACAGTGACGTTTTAAAAGTGAATTTCACCACATCCAGATGAGAAAAAGTTTTTTAGGAGGTTCATAGGGATCTCTGGATGCGACTTTATTGTAACAAAGGTCGTACCGAAGTTAAAGCAGTTATTGGGGTACAATTGGGTCACTGGATCGATTTTATTTGCATCCATACCAAATAATTTAATGATTTCATAGCCGTTTTAATCCTCGTAGTACCAGCATACATAAGGTTGCAAGAATGTGCTCCCCACTTTTGGTTTAACAATTTTGTGAAAAATGTTTTGTTTTGTAGATGTTTCTCTATTACGAAGTAGAGTTTTTCTGGAATTTAGTTTTGAGGTAGATGATTATCAGTAGGTAGATGATTATGAGGTTTATGATCATAAAATGGAGCGGTTCACGGTATCACGAAAAAGCTTCTCAACAAGCAGTTTACTGAGGCAGTACATGTAACAGATGACCGCGACCAATGGAAAGGTATCATTGATCAGACTATACGAGCTGCTGAAGCTCAATGATGAACCACAATACATCTGCCAAGATGTTAATGACTATGATGATAATGTGATAATTATCATTGTTTTCAAAGTTATCAACCAGGTTGATTCGACTCGATCCATATCAACCAGCGCCTCGATTCTTTCCGATGAGATAGACAACAATCTTTTGTTTTGCAGGAAGGTGGAGGTAAAACGAGTGAACTTTCTATCTTCTGTGATACCATACAATATTCGGAAGAGCTTCTTGTCGTTTTCGGTATTGTGAGATCTACAAATACTGCCTCTAATTCATGTCTTTTATAATTGTCTTTATGTGTTAGTTGAGATATAGTATTTGTAATGATTTTCCCGATCATCTAAAACCACTTTTTTGTTTAATGGGCTTATCGTCTATTCTTGTTGACATTTTAATGATGATTATGCGTTCATACCGTTTAGGATAAAACAAACAATAATTTGACAATTTATGTATGTTCAAGAAGTTTAATTATTATATAGAAATATATTTTAACCATTCTTATCATTTTTTAGAATGGATTGGCCCGTCAGAACAATTTCATTCAGCCATGATGGACAGCTATTAGCTTCCGCCTCAGAAGACTTAATAATCGATATCGGATTTGTCGAAACTGGAGATAAAATAGCCGATATCTCAGTGGAATCTGCGACGTTTACAGTGGCGTGGCATCCATCCAGTTATCTTTTAGCCTATGCTTGCGACGATAAGGACAGTTACGATAGAAAAAGAGATGCTGGGAGCTTAAAAGTTTGGGGTTTTTCTAACGATTAGATTTTATGTACATTATAAATATTTTTAAAATAAACATTAGTATTTTTTAAGGAAGTTTGTGTTTTATTAAAGAAGCATCTTGCACTTGTTTTTATTCTTTAGGAGTTGTTGGTTATTTCATTGTTGATCTCATTTTTATAAAAGTTAGCTTAATTGTAGATTAAAGTGCCCTAATATCAGATTCTTTTTTTTAACCCTGATATTAGTTTTAATACGTCCATTAATTTATGAATATTTTAGAGCAAAACAAGTAATAGACTATAGAGAATCATTTATTGAACGAAAATAAATCATTTCTACAAAGTAAAAAATTTAAATTAAAAAAAAAAGTCAAAAGAAAATGCAAAAAAGTATTTTTGAAGTGTGTATATTTTAGACAATTCCTAGCTGAGCGCTTTCGGCTTTACAAAGCCATCATCAGAGCTATGCTACAATAAAAATGTTCTTATAAGTACTAATTGGTAAAGATTATAATTTTAACTTACGTCAATTTTTTAAATACCACTACAAAGGAGAGATCTCATTTCCTTAAATTTCAAAAATATGATTTTTTAGGTGTTGAAATTCTTAAAACATATAAAAAGCCGACACTGGACTTCACAAACACGTTAAAAAATTGAAAAAATTTTTTGTCATGGTACGGGTGTAAGAACCCGACCATTGATTGATGTGAGGACGTAGACAGAATAGAACTAATGAAATCAAATGTCGGTCCTTTTAAACGATTTTTTCAAAAGTGACAGTTGACAAATGTCATATAGGAAATAGAGATTGTTTTTTTAAATTCTTACAAAATTATTTAGTAGTTTGGAATTACTAATAGTCATCAAAGACTTTTTAAAAATTAAGTTTTTAAAATTAAATTTTATGTGTTCATCACATCATACAGAATGACATTAGTTTGTAAATTCACTCAAGTCATTGCTCAAGATCAATGTATGTTCAATCTGACAGCCATCCTTAAGAAACAAGGGCTCAAATTGTTCAACAACAATATAAAGAAGAAACATGGTATTAATGTTACGTTATATGATACTTAAGTGTATTGAGAATTGTATCTCTTGATGGAAAATTGTAAGAAATTTGCATAAAAATTTTTTTTAAGAATGTATTTTCATGTTTCAATTAAGAATAACTGTCAAATGAATTACAAAATGTTGTAAATTTCTAATAAAGTTTAAAAATATAAAAGTATGAAAAATATATAATAAGATTGCATGAGGTCACCCTTCTTCCTCTAAAGTCTCCCATAATAATTTAAAAAGAGGTTTATAGTTGCAATTGAGGTTGATTTGTGTGTTTAAGCAACAATCAGGGTTTAGTTTCATTTCTTTGGATATCTCTAGATCTTCCAAGAGATTCATGAGTCTAAAGTTTTTATTGGGAATGTTGTGTAAAATTTTACTGTTTTCAGAAGGAGAAAAGGAATGATTATTAAATTTAATGTGATATCCAAAGTTTGATTTTTCTGGGTTATTGAGGTGTTCTTTGATTCTTTGATTCAGAGTTCTCATTGTTCTACCTACATAAGTCATATTACAGTCACCACAGGACAGCTTGTAAATACCACTTCTGTTTAGTTTGTCAACTTTGTCTTTGGTCTTGCTGAAGATGGACTTGATGTTATATTTGGTTTTAAAGGAGATGTTTAAGTCACTACTTTTATTAACAAGTACTCTTGAGATTTTTTCTGAAATTGGTCCTAAGTAAGTTAAGGATCTATATATGGAAGTAGTGTTGGATTTTTTATCAACTTTTACCTCCTCATATCAATCAATGGTCGGGGTCGTACACCCGTACCATGACAAAAATCTTTTCAATTTTTTAACGTGTTTGTGAAGTCCAGTGTCGGCTTTTTATATTTTTTTTATATGTTTTAAGAATTTCAACACCTAAAAAATCATAATTTTGAAATTTAAGGAAATGAGATCTCTCCTTTGTAGTGGTATTTAAAAAATTGACGTAAGTTAAAATTATAATCTTTACCAATTAGTACTTATAAGAACATTTTATTGTAGCATAGCTCTGATGATGGCTTTGTAAAGCCGAAATCGCTCAGCTAGGAATTGCCTAAAATATACACACTTCAAAAATACTTTTTTGCATTTTCTTTCGACTTGTCATAAGTGTGTACAAAAAAATATCAGTCTTTTGATTAAAAAAAAACAGTAAATTTAGACCGACAAAGAAATGTTACTAATACCGGATATTAGGATAACGGGATCAAATTAGCCATCGAGGCAAAAATAACAAATATATGTGTCTTGGTGCATACATTGGTGCAGTCGGTGTGGGCCCACTTAAAACACTTTGAGCACTGTATCCATTGTTCGCCCCAGGTATCTTCAGAGAAGAGTCCAGTATAAAACATACATTCTGATTACTCTTCTCCAATGTCACACTCCCATGTCAGAATAATCTAAAATGAATTTTTCATCTTCTTTAGATGAACTAAAAGCTTCCTTTCTTAGCACTTTTCTTTTTAACCTTGGTTGTCATTGTCTTCTTAGCATTATATATCACCTGAATTGTCGTAGGTAAAATATAGTATGCAACTCACAATGCATTTGTATTCTATAATTTTTATACTATTACTCGAACTACCGTAGATACGCATATACAGAATAATAGTGCTGTATAGTAATGTAAGTTCCGTGTATAGTCATATTCAATCAGAGAAGATTATATTAAGGATGTTTGTTGGTTTGGTCATACTGTAAGAATGGTATACGTTCTACGATTATTCATGTTCTATTTCTAGTAATACTTCATGCGTGGATGTACGTTATAAATCGTTTTCAGCGTCACCTTTCGCTTTGTTTCAAGATAGAGAGAGACTGAGATAGGCTGAAGGAGTGTCTTTTTACAATGACACGTGCTAGATGTGGTCGACAGGTGGCGTGACGCGATGGTGAACGGTAATAGACGTAGAATCCCATTCAAACTATGTCCAATATATGATATAGAGCCGTTTTGGCGATTATGTCATTCTCTCTTAGCCCCCTGTGCCAAAAGACAGCGTCGTTTGGCACAGTCTTTGTGTTTGCTTTTTGTCTTAACATATTCATTACCACCTCCCCTTTCCATCGATACCTCACACGTTGAACGGTTTGGATGTTGCAAGCTTAGTGTCCTGGCATTGTCTTTGCGTTGTATTTTTATCTTACTATATTCGTTACCACCTCCACTTTCCATCGATACCTCACACGTTGTTGTACGTTGAGCCGTTTGGACGTTGCAAGCGTAGTGTCCTTCTGACATTGTCTTTTCGTTTGTTTTTTATCTTAACATATTCGTTACTACCTCCCCTTTCCAACGATACCTTACACATTGTTATACGTTGAATCGTTTAGACGTTACAAGCTTAGTGTCCTTTTGGCAATGTATTTTACATTTGTTTTTGTGTTAACGTATTCATTACCCTCTCCCCATTCCAACGACACCTCACATGTCACGATCCGATGTGCCGTCGCGCATTCACCAAAAAAAACGTCAAAAATGACCAGAATGAACCTTAGCGATTTCCCATGTTAATTTCCATAAGAGTTGTGCTCGTTCCCATGCTGCCCCTTTACTATAGATTTTCCTTTTTATTTGTTTTCTTAAATGTCATATTTGTCTATTTTTAATTTCGGAATTCCTTTTGAAATACTTTTATTTTTTGAATGGTGTGTAGGTACCCGTAATCAAGGCAGCAGATCCTTTATTTGGACTTTTTTTCTTTAATACTAGACTTGTAAAATGAAGTGGTGGGTAAAGGGCTAATATCTTGTGGCCAGTTGAACCTCTATTATTAGAAATGTTCTTACATGATAAATCTTCCACATATTTGATCGCATCAATACGTCTTGGAGGAGTGACTTGGTTTTCTTGTTCAGCCTCTGGTAGATTTGGAACTTAAACTTGGTCACCTTCCGCTTGATGGTGAATGGCAAAGTCGTGTTCTCGAAAAATGTGTTTATTAAATGGGCAAATACGTTCGAAAACCATTTATAGCGATTTCAGTTGTAGCACATCTTACATAAGCTCTTCCAAACAATTCGCAAACTTGATAGCAGGTGACTACTCTTCCAGGGTTGTTCCTTAGCCAATTTTCAATTTGCTGCGAGTAGTACTACATGGATTTGGCGCGCCAAATTTATCGAGTCAATGTTCGGCGTGTGGGATAAGTGATCATCCAATATTAATACAACTGGTTCAGATTCACTTGGTTTAACGTGGCTAATAAAATGCAACTAATTGGTGAAAATGTGACTCTGAATCCAGCCAGACACATGGCAGACAGATATTGTCCCTGGAGCTCCGTTGAGCAAATCTGTTTATTTAAGCCTATTATTGCGCCGTTGAGCAAATTTACTCCGTTTGGAGTACCAGAAATTGAATTCACTAAGAATTTGGACCATGATGAACGGCATGTGTTATGCAATCTTAGATTTCCTGACCGAGTAATTTATCAAGCTGTTTGCTTTGCAAGTTTTAGAAAGCACATTGGTAAAAATTTGAATTCGATTTTGCCAGGTAGAAATCGCATGATTCCTTTTTTTGTCAAAAACTTTATTATTGAACAATAATTACTCCAACAGAAAATAGCATCAATTTCTAAAGTTTCAAGGGCAACTGTGGACTGTATAAAAAAAAATTGACAAAAATTTGTTTTTGATCCCACGGCACAAACAAAAATATGGTCGAAAAAAAATTACAATGCCACGAGATTAAAAAAAATTTCGAGATATTGTCTTGGCACACAAAATACCTTGAAGGTTTTGAACGAAAATGATGCATGAGTCTGGCACCAGTATTTTACTAATGACAGCTCATATCCCGAATAAAGGATCTGGTGTTTTCAACCTGCCGCTCTGCAAAAGCTGCTACTCATACTGTCACCATAGGGAGAGTAGGGTCTTCATATGAAACGATTCCATATCAGCTCTCTAGGTGCTCTACAGAGGGCTTCGGTTAGTCAATCCGAAGCTGCCTCTGCGTTTTTATCTTAATTAGATGGAAAGGTAAATAAAACACTGTTTTGACGTAGACAAAAGGTCCTAGCAAAAGAG